AAACAAACAATAAACAAAGAAAGGGGGGACATAACATTTCTATTTACGTTTGACAAGACTGGTTTAATTCACACTCTAGCCCAATTTGTTTCCCCATAATCAAAAGACTTAGTTAATTTTGTTTACTTTCCAATCGAGTTTTCATACAATTCCAAGGTATATGATGCAGTGGAGGTATTTTCAAGACAACATTTTCTGCCCATCTATTTAAATATAATAATACTGTCTGATGTCTATTATTTGTCCATGTAACTACTTCGCAGGGTGTGGATGGATCTTCACCAAAATTGGTATGGAGGTTCTTTAGGCCTATGCGGGGGTACATACAAATTTTCAGTTTTGCATTTTGAGGTTTTTATGATCGTTTTTACCAATATTTTGCTTCCTGTAGATGAATCGTCACCAAATGTGGCATGGATGTTCACTGGGTCCATAGGGAGAAACACATGCAAATCTTAAGTCTTTCATTTTGCGTTTTGAGGTTTTTATGATCGTTTTTACCAATATTTTGCTTCCTGTAGATGAATCTTCACCAAATGTGGCATGGATGTTCACTGGGTCCATAGGGAGAGACACATACAAATCTTGAGTCTTTCATTTTGCGTTTTGCGGTTTTTATGGGCGTTTTTGCATTTTTTTTACCACTATTTTGTCCCCTGTTGATGGCTCTTCACCAAATTTGGCATGAAGGTTTGTTGGGTAAATGCGGAGATACATACAAATCTGTGGTTTCACATTTTCTGTTTTACAGTTTTTATGGGTGTTTTTTTTTTACAATTACATATAAGAGGAGCAACTTTTCATGTCCGAAGATAACCTTTCATTAATCATAAATCTACATAACTTCTGTCCAGCATAGAGCGTACTTGACGTACACTCCCAACCCATCCCACTCCAAAAAAAAATTTTAAAAATCTAATCTTTGTCTAGCAACCCGCCTCCTCCTCCTTCTTAAAATCTCAGACCTGCCAGTGTAACAATACATTGTTGTGTAAATATTTGTGTTTCAAAAATAGTTCATTCAAATGAATTTAACTAATTCCTCTTCCATAATCGCATACTTACAACAATTTAAATATTAATAATTATACTATATTAAATATTAATAATTAAAACAATGACTGATTATATTGAATCTTTACATAGGTTCGTTTATTGATTAACTTCACCTTGCCATCTTGAGTAAGAAGAATATTTTTACATTTCAAATATCCCCCTTAACCTCCCCCCATAAACACATACATATAAACATACCACATCTACGACTGAAACCGAAGTCTGTTAACTTCACCTTGCCATCTTGAGTGAGAAGAATATTTTCACATTTCAAGTCTCGGTGGGCTATCTGCAGCGCGTGAAGGTACTGGACAGCAGTAACAAGCTGGTAAAAGTAACGACGAGCTTGCTCTTCTGGTAGATTACGATACCGCTAGTTCAATAAAGGTTCAAGTTTCTAAATCGGGCGTACATATAAAAACAACAACAAAGAAGCATACTAATACTGAAACGGATATTCCGTCTATGTTTCAGACACACAAGTGTAAAAATAATTGAAAGTCTACATTCTATGTTAACCGAAAACATGATTATTTATTTTGTTGATTTCTTTGTGCACATAAAAACCTGTTCGAATTAATATTTTTATTGCTTATTTTCCCTCGTTACTAAATTTAATTTTATCATAATATTTGGCAAATGTTTTAAAGAATTTCCTAGATGGCGCTATAAACTTTTTGTGTGGCGGAAAAGACTTGTCACTTACATCTAAGTAGGCCTAACATTATTTGAAAAGAAACTTTTGACATTTCAAATATCCCCCTTAACCTCCCCCCATAAACACATACATATAAAACATACCACATCTACGACTGAAACCGAAGTCTGTTCCTGGCAGCCCTCCTCTGAACCCTTTCCAAGGTAAGGAGTCCAAAACTGTTTTATTTTTATTTTACGCCAACACAACGTCTTGAGAGAGAAGAATATTTCCATGATACCTGGGATGGGAAGGTTGTCATACGAGGATAGGTTAAGATCTCTGAAATTGTTTTCTCTTGTAGAAAGAGAAAAGAAAGGGAATGGATGCTTCATTTTCTTTTTTTCTTAGTGGTGAGAATGGTAAGAACACAACGGTAATTTTCTAACAGGGTGGTTGGTCTATGGAATAGGTTGTCTTCAAATATGGCGGATACAGTTCATTTTATTTTAAGAGAAGGCTTGATAAATATTTGAATGATAAGGTATGACTTTTGGTGTTTAGTATAGTGGATGGGGCAACCTAAATGGACCCTTATCGTCCTTAAATTATAATGGACCAAGCACTAAATGCGCGATCCTTTGGGGAAACAACGGATTTCCTTCTACATCTTGTGTTCTCCCCGCGTGAGTTTTAAACCTAACATTAGTGTTGAGTAAATCGATGGGTAAGTCAGTCCAATAGAAACTAACCGTTGTAAATCGATGGGTAAGTCAGTCCAATAGAAACTAACCGTTGTAAATCGATGGGTAAGTCAGTCCAATAGAAACTAACCGTTGTAAATCGATGGGTAAGTCAGTCCAATAGAAACTAACCGTTGTAGAAATTACCATAATTATAGTATAAATCTATTCATGTACTTGTTTGCTTGTTGTTTTGTCGTAAAATCATACACACTATGAATTTTGAAGGCGGGCGAGGTTTTCTTCTTGTTGTTTATTACATAGAAGTCAGGCGGAGTTAGATAGGTCACACGCTACATTGTCCACCAAATATTAAATGATATAGCATTAATTATATAAATACATACATGCACGAGTGTTAAATTGTCACTTTTTAAGGCCCACTCTGCTATTTTTTCTTCTTTTTACTTGTTTCCTAGAGTAAAAAATGTTTTTTTAAAACCTGGATGGGTTGTTTGAATGAGTTTTGTCAGAACAAGAACAAATTTGTTCCAGTTACATATCTTAACACAGGAGCGTCATTTCATAAAAGGCTTGGGAGGGTAGGGGCAGAAAAAATTGATATCGCATGGTCTCCCCCAGCAGTTGAGCTGAAGGCCTTACACTATGACGTAATTTGCGTATACTTGTTAATCAGGCCTGATTAGAAATGTCGATCTTTTACCCCCCCCCCCACACACACACACACGCGCGCGCGAATGACGCCCCTGTTGTAATATTAAGCACATTTCTATTGTCCCTAATTGGTGCCATGATCACTTTTTTATTGTTCTTACAGTAAAAACAAAACAAATACAGACAGTTAGATAAAAAAACTAGTTCATGTTTTACTGTTTCTGATTACAAGTTGATCCTACTACCGGAAAAAGGGTGTTGAGTGAGACCTACTGCGGCAGCGCCGCCTATGCTGCTCCCGAAGTTCTCCAAGGCATATCCTACAACCCCAAGATGTACGACGTCTGGAGCCTAGGCTGTATACTCTTCATTATGATAACTGGAACCATGCCGTTCGATGACTCCAGCGTCAAGAAAATGATTCAGGTGCAGCTGCAGAGACGACTAAGGATACCCTCTGGGGTTGCCTGTACTGTAACTAAAGGGTGCGAGGAACTGATTCGTCACATACTGGAGCCTGACGTCACTAGACGAGCGACTGTGGATCAGGTGTTACGCCACCCTTGGTTACAAGGTGTTATTTGATGAGATATAAATTTCTTAAAGTCGCGTTTTATTTCCAAGCCACAGCTTTATCGCGTAATTTCTGTCACATTTTCATCATGCTCCTTTCGACCTCCAGGTGGCAGCACGTGTTCACTCAAAATTTCCGGCAAAATATGCGACTTTATCTTAAAAAAACAAATTATTGAAAGGTAAACAGTGTTCTGCTAAAGGTAGTCGATATGCAAGATAATAAAATGGACTTAAGTTTCCAAACTCAATTAATATCTGAATATACATATTTTGTATAACATTCTAATACACATACACGTTTATCACTTGAGTGTGATTTTACATGTAGCGCAAATGACCATATATAATTACTATTAAACTACATGTGAAATGATACAACATGAATATTATTATTTTAAAAAAGTATATTTAGCACAAACGAAGATTTTCTAAATAAATAAGCGTTAATATTAATCCTGATCTTTTAGTTGGGTTTCTTTGGTTTTTCAAGACGATACAAAAGTTTTGTTTGTTTGTTTGTAAATAAGCACAAAGCTACACAATGGGCTATCTGTTCTCTGTCCACCACGGGTATCGAAACCCGGATTCTAGCGTTGTAAGTCCGCAGACATACCGCTGTGCCACTGGGGGGGGGGGCAATACAAAAGTAATAATTGTGAAATTCTTGCGAATGTTCTAGTTTTTTCGGACACTTTTAACTTGAAATTATAATACTTTTATACGACAACCATGACAAGATAAGACATTGACAATGCACTTTTATGGGAACGAGATTGTATTATTCTTGTCCCCCGCTGGGACAGAGGTAAGTCTCCGGATTTACAATGATAAAATCAGAGGATCAATTCCCCTCGGTGGACACAGCAGTTAGCCCGATGTGGCTTTGCTATAAGAAGAAACATACACGTTATTGTTTTATAAAATGAATAAGTTTGCCAAACCATGAATACATAATCCTGTGATGTTTACGTGTTCACTGAGTAACTTAAAAGAGGATTCAACAAATACTGTATAACAAAGCAATGCCTGAATATTTCTGCCCTTGACTGAGTTTGAATTACAAGAAAGAGACGGGATACAAATTTTCAAGCGATCACAATCTTTATTTACCAAATAAACACAATCAAAGTTCAAGTTAACAAGTACTTTGTGATGCGTCTTCGATTAGAGAAAGAGGGAGATGGGGGAACTTTGTTTGAGATCCCTCAACAGGTGGTTTTAAACTCGCATATTAAAGGGAAGTTGGAGCTGTATCTGAAAATTTGTCTAACGAAACTCCGGCTCAGAAATCTGTAACAAAAGTATATTTCAAACAATTTATATAAAAATTCTTTTTAAAGAAACAAAAAAAACAAGATAATTTATACCTACGCTTCTCCTCTCCAGGCGTATGCGCCATCCACGTGACTATGGGCCACTCTCATTGTCAACAAGGAGTGGTATTCCCTTGAGCCATCACCCGACTTGCCACTAAAAAATATCACTGTCACTATCTATAACATACTTCATGCTTCAGCAATCTTTTCTAATGGCGAACACAAGTGATGTTCTTGGTGACTCACCCAGTTCAGTGAATAACTAAGGCGAGAGAAACTTAGTGGTTTCCATGACCGAATTTTTATATCACGAACTATATTCATAACTTCAAAGTGTTGATAGTTTTCAGCTTATAGTTAACACAGTTAAGAAATCCACTCAATCTACTATTTGTTAACTTGAAAAAAGTAGAAAAACATGAGAGTTTTTCTTCAAAGCGAAGAAGAAACAATCTCGCTTGTGCTTCTGGTAAAAGTGAGGTGGTAAAAATGTTGACCAGAGTGTGCTGATGTTTAGGTAATTTTCTCCCAAGGCTTTAAAATAGAAAAAATATATATAAATTAAATATTGATATGATGATGATGAGATAAAATTTTCATCACTGCTCTGTAAACGCATTTTATTTTGTGCAACATTCTGGAAACCGGTGATTTAGGATTATTTCGCTAGATTTTAATAAATGAAGCTTGGCACAACTTCTAAAAAAACAACAACTAAATATAAAGGAAAATATGACACGGTGAAATCTATATGATATTATACTATAGTAATACCAGTATTATACCATCCTTCTTATATTTACTCTTCATTGCATAAATGGCATTTTTAATTTCAGAATCGCTAAAGGTAATGTATCATGCACCTGCTTCAACTTCAACACTACATCTGGTGTGTCAAATTGATTGGGATATCTTCAAATAAGTTCTTCGCTGGACCCACGGTTTAGTTTAATCGCTACACGTAAACCATCACATTCACAACCACATCTAGAATATTCCAAGCATGTTTCATTGCTACGTCGTTTTACTTTACATTTGCAAGTTAACTTCTCCATGTTGGCTCTCTTGGTCTTGGGTCAGATCACGTGTCTGGTCCAGTGACCTAGACCTCGAAAATAGTGTCAAACGTCTTGTTTTTGTCCAATGAAAATAACCTAAACCTTTCCAGAACGACTTTTTTTTATTTATTCACAAGATGCGGGGCCGGCAGGTGTTAATATATGACATTTATCTTGTAGGTGTTAATATATGTCATTTATCTTGTAGGTGTTAACATATGTCATGTATCTTGCAGGTGTTAATATATGACATTTATCTTGTAGGTGTTAATATATGTCATGTATCTTGCAGGTGTTAATATATGACATTTATCTTGTAGGTGTTAATATATGTCATTTATTTTGTCGGAGTTATATGTCATGTATCTTGCAGGTGTTGATATATGACATTTATCTTAGTCATTCGAAATGTGGTCGGCACTTTAACACTTACAGTCAATAGGCATAAAAGCATTAATTGGATTACAAAAACACTCCCCGATGTGCCATTGAATTCAACAAACAAGTAAGAAAATGGTGTGAAGTGTTTTTAGTTTAAAACAAATACGCCAATCAGCATAATTGCTATCACCTAAATACCACATTTGTCGTGTAATATGTGCCACTACAAAGTCAATCGTCATTTATAGAAGCTATCGTCATAAATAGCACCAAGGACAGGGCCTGAATATATCTTAGAAGGTTAGTATATAAATATATAAGTAGACCAGTCCTTCTTCGAAAGAAAGAAAAAACAAGTCATGTGTGACAAGTACGTCTCTCTAAATAACTCGGTGTTCCCATGAATCACAACATAGGCTGCAAGTTACGAGATTACACACCGAGAAAGGTGTTGGAGAAATGGTTATGAGAGGTTGTCTGTCTGTCTTTTTTTTTCATCTGGTACAGTAAATGAAAAATATAAAACAATATACGACAGAATTCGAAACATTTCGAGGATTAACTCGTATACAAATGAAAGATACATATTTTTTTTCTAAAAAGATGCATGTGATTTTATAACTTTTTAATTATATATATTTTTTTAATTTCTACTTCAAATACATTCGTCATCTTAAAGTAATTCGAAGTTTATATCTTTCTGTAAAAACAAACAGTAATCAGTTTGTTTGTACAGATTTTTTAAAAAGTAAGGATTGTTTTTATATGCTTTATATTCTTATGGGCCAAGGTAAGCATAATGCAAACATGGAATCCAGCCAAGGACCAAGAAAACAGAACGAAATTAAACATGTCAAGTGGCTTAAAGTATTCTGGTAGTTAAGGGTGACAAAATAAAACTAAAAATAGGTTGCCAAAACGAAAGTAGTAGAAAAATCTTAGGTTTTTGGTTGATGTTGAATTTTACGTAAAGTTATTCGAGGGCTATCTGCACCAATCAACACCATCTATCGCCAATTCTTGGGCTACTCTTTACTAATGAAAAGTGGGATCGACCGTACGTCATAACGTCTCAGCGGCCGAAAGAGTAAGCATATTGCGAGTTGGTGCTCTATTCACTAGGCCAAAATATCTTAAGATGAAATCGTAAATACGTTCTAATAAATATTAAAGATGAATGTCAATGGATGGTTTTATTTCATTAGAGAGCTCTATTCCACTAGGCCTACTTTTTACCATCGGTTTATCAGATCATACAGCAAGATCTCTAAAGTTTTACATGCAAAATAAATCACATTTCAGGTTTAAAGAAAGTTAAAAAGGTTCTTCTTATTCAGAGCAAGGCTTTGTTCGATGGTAAACATTTTTTTATTAATTAATTGTTTTTCTTGTTCAACCAATAACCATTTAATACTACCTTATATAATAACGTATTTTCAATTTTATATTATGTTCTTGGCTACTTTCCATTTTTATTTTTTATTCTCGCAAAAAAATTTCCATTCTACATTCTAAAAAATACTGATTTTGTTTACATAATAACGAAATATTTTCTTCTTATTTTTCCTTTCTTGAGATATTGGTGATAATAATCTAAACTTCACAAATTCTGTAGTATTATAGTGTTACGCCTCCGGTCGTTAGTTAATTTTCCGTAAAAATTATTTCTGAAGAAACTTTACCGTTACAAGTCCTTTCTTAAATAAAACTGGTTTATTCTTTCTGAATACAACTTTACGATACACTTAATTTCAACAGTCGCTATAATTCACAACGAACTTATCACGTGCTCAACAATATTCTGTCCGCATACATTCAACTACTCATTACATTGCCTCCGTCACGTTGTGACCGTCTTATATATAAGAGAATACCGAGATCTAGTAAACTTCCGATATTTCATGAAGGTTCGAGAAGGAAGTCGCGTGATACAAGCGTCACGTGACCTGTGTTTCGTAACAATAGGCTTAACAAACTCAACTATTACACACATGTAAGTAACTATTCTGATTTAACGCTGCAATACGTTAAAATTGGAAACTTAAAAGGCTTCAACTATAAATCGATCTGATATTTTACAAATAATAAGGCAAATCAACAGCTCGAATTGATTTCACTGTTCTTTTTCTCAAATAATCCCACCAAGAACTTTGGATCGTTTTCGTCCTAACCAGCTTCATCCACATATGTATGTGTACAGAAAATAGTTGTTATTAATGATCAATGTGTTAAAGATAGTGTAATATCAAAAAAAAAAATATCTCAACATACTGCGAAACAAACATCATATATATCTCGTCCAACATTTAGGGCAGTGATGTGTTGAACACAAACAAACCCCTAAACAACTATGTTACAGGACAGTCACCAATGGTGTCATCCAACATTTAGGACAG